CATTCTATAAAGAAAACATTTGATGATTTTTCTAACTATAATATTTAGCTAAATTTTATATATATATATATATATATATATATAACTTTATTTAATGTCCCATCAACCATCAGAGATTATTAGCGACATTAGAGTAGTTATACATTATAGTTTCTTATACATATTAATTTGCTTATAAGATATTTCAGTAAATTTATTATAGTTATTTTGAAATTTAGATTGTCTTTAGTGATGGATTTAATAAACATTTAATTGCAAATTATAAAAACGAGTTAATAATCGATTGCTGTTTGATTTTGAATCGTATCGTATCGATTCGCAAGCAATTACTTTAATTGGATTATACTGAAATACTTACAGAAAAGAATATTTGAAAAATTTAAATTTGTGGGTTTTGTTTTTCGACAACACGAGGAAAAAGAGAGAGAGAGAGAGAGAGTAAGAGAGAGAGAGAGGATAGGAAGGAAGGAAGGAAGGAAGGTAGAGAAGAAAAGGACAGACGAATAGCGTCGAATCGATCGTGTCTGGCTCCGACCTTGGCAGTGACGTACTCTCTTGCAAACCAGATGACAAAGGCCTCGATCAAGATCGCTAGAAAAAAAAAGAAAAGTATACATAAAAATATGGACCGTTTATTTTTAAATTGGTCTAAAGTTTACATTCAATTCAGCATAAATTATGTGATTTTTTAATTTAAAAAAAAAAACAAACAAATGGGCCATATCATCTTTGTAACCCTATCTACTTCGAATTTTGATTACTTGCTCGATTACAACGATTCAATTTATTTATATTTATTTTCTAATATATATATTATATATTATTTAAATAAAAAAAAACATACTTTATTTATTTATTCAAAATATTACATCATAATAAATGCGCGTTCCCGTTTAAAATACATTTGTATATTTATTGTTATTATTTTACACGTATGCACGAAATTTGTATTTCAACGTGTCTTCTTTTCATTTTCCCTCATTTTTTTTACATTTTGTTATTGTATGTATATAACATTTATATCAAATGTATTTTTCATTTTTTTATTTTTTTTATGTTATTTTATTTTTATCCTCCCCACGACATTTATAATATAGAAAATGTGTTCACAATTACTTTTCTTGTTTTTCTTTTTACTTGACGTTTCCATTAAAAATGTATTTTCAATTTGTTACTCGTCTTTTAATAAATACATTTTACGAGATTACGTTTAATATCAATGTTTTTATTCGTGGCTTTCTGATTTACATTATTTCTTTATTTTTGTCAGAATATATATCCAACATGGACAAAATTAAATGCAAAATGTATTTTTATATTTTTTTAGTTATTTATATTCGATGATATTTATTTTGTATTTTAATATACTTACAGCAACGTACGATGAAGTATGTTCGTCGTCACAAATTGCATGAAATTGAAAATAAGTGAAGAGAGATTCGATGTTATCATAGAAAAAGGATGATACTTTGATGTTTAAAGATCACAGACAGAGTAAAGCAAACTATGGTAACCTCTCTTCCTTTCATATCCTTTCCACTTATACGTAAACAGGATTTCACAGAGTCTGTCGTCTTGACCATCCAACGTGAATTATCTGTAAAATAACATACGAGTAAATACATTTTCATCAAACACTTTTTGTATTTGTAAAATCACATACCAAAGAAACGAATCATCGAAAGTACAAAACTGCAATTTATTTAGCAAAATATACTTTTTTATTAATATATGTACAAAATATTGATACATATAATGATTTAATTTTCTTTTAGATAAATAGTGATAGATAATGTGAAAATATAATAAATTTCAAAATAATGAATAATTTAATAACTCGCATAAAGTACAGAAACGTAGGAAGCTGATGCCTTCAACATCTACAACGATAAAAAGAGAAATAAACGAAAAAAAAAAAAAAAAAAACAAGAAAAAAGGGAATTAAATGAAGACAAATATTCAAATATTAAATTAATATTTCAAAGAGAATATATTTACTTGAGCAAATCCTTCTAAAGATAACTCCATAAATTTGGCAGCAGTGATTTTAAATCGTTTTTGAGATCTGATCATCAATAACATTAATGATCTACTGTCGTTGTGGTCGAGATTGTACCAATTACATTCGTAAGCTGCTTTTTCGATAGCTGTGCTCTCAAAATATAAAAGTATACATTTTAATAATCATTTAAGAAACATCATGTGCATCATTTTTCATATTATTAATAATTATTATTTTACCTTAGATCTTATAAATTCGCCAGCAAAACAAAGAACGAAAGCTTCCAAATTGACTAAAATGTAATATGGAATAGTCCTTGCTAATATAACAGATCTTTGTTCCGAATCTAGCGACTGTTATCGTAAAACATATCTTTAAATTAATAATTTAAAATAAAATAAAAAAATAATATATATAATTATTAATATATATTATAATATTATAATGATTATATACATTAACTCACCGTAACTATCAAAAAACCCAATAACCCAATAACCAAAGTATTCGAAAGAAATTGCATCAATGCTATATAAGAAAATATATTTTCAATATTTTCAGCGAAAGTTATGACCTTTTGATGCCTTTTGATCAATGGTCTGAACATTTTATTACAAGATAAACGATTCTTCACAATTTTCGAAATTTCTGACAACTTTTGACAAATTATTTCTGCTTGACCATCGACGTGAAGTATCTATAGACAAATTTTTACAAATAAAATGTAACTTTGAAAAATAATGAAAAAAAAAAAAAGTAGTAAATGGCAAAGTGTATTTAGGGTTTCTTTTTTTTTTTCTTTTTCTTTAACATAGTAAGAATTTTTTCCTTACCAAAGTAACCAGCAAAGCGTTCGTCATACCCGAGATAGAAGCAGCTACAAATTCTAAAAGAAATTGAGCAAGATTGACGAGCTCATAAATCGGTGATCTCGTAGCGTCAAATGGTAATTCCATTTTAAGAAGCAATTGTTTATCTCGTGCAAATAAACCAAATGAAAGGAAGAATGTAACACCTATGGAATAAGAACCAACGAAGAAGTTCGTGTAACGACGCGATAATTTCACTTTCTTCAACATTATTTCAACATTTTCTTTCTCGATTAAACAATCTTTCCAATCGTCTATCATCATTTTCAAAATCTCACTAAACACTCTGATGAAATTATATAAAAACAAAAAACAAAAAAATGAAATTACACAGATGTAAATCACATTGGATAAAATAAAACACTTACCTGTGTTTCATCCAAAGTATAATTAATTTCACAAAAAGTAGACTATTTGATACAGTAATACTTAAACAATCCATCAAACCTGGTAAATCTCCCGATCGATAGTGTGCAAAAATATACCAAAATTGAAAAGATAGAGTAGAACACATTGTCAAAATCCAAAAAACACGATGAATAATAGCATAAGTATAACCAGGCCATAACCCAGTAAAACGTAAACTAAACTCCAGCAAAAGATTTATTGGACTGGCAGGTAACATTGAATTTGTGATTTCGAATATTTTTTTTTGTTTTTCTTAATTGAAACAAACTTTTTTTCCTATGTATTATTTATTTATTTATTTTTTGTCATTGGACAACGAAGGAACGAACTACGATCGAAAGAAAATGAAATTGAAATGATACGAGATATTTCTTTTTTTTTTCTATTGGTGCCTCTACCAATCCCACCCTCCCTCCCACCCTCCCACAATCTTTCCTCATCCCTCACTTCATTTTAAATTGATAGTTTTTCAAGTATGATTACAGCGTTCAACGTTAAAGAATATTATGTGAAAAGAATAGAGGAAAAACATATTATTGCATAAATCTTGAATTGAAAAGGAAGAAAACTAAAATATAGAAATTGTAAGTTTGAGTAAGAGAGTGAGAGAGAGAGGGAGAGAGAGAGAAAGAGAGAGAACCCTTCGTGATTGAAAATCATTCAATTTAATAATGCAAATCCATATTCATGGGAGTTACACATGCGAGAGAGAGCTGGCCACATTCGTTCTTATTTTTCTTACTGAAGAAATAACGTACAAACTTTTTATTTCTACGAAAATGTGACATGAAGAGAGAAAGGAGAGAGAGAAAGAGAGAGAGAGAGAGGGAGAGAAAGAAATAAAGAAATGAAAACCAATTGAATTTTGTTCTAACAAAAGTTTCAACATAATTTCTGGTAAGTTGAACGTTAATTTGATTTTGAAAAAAATATCATATTTGTTAACACGTTCCGTGCCAAGCCCTTTTTTACCTGACTTGTAATTCAGGTCATTTAATTTTGCTTGAATCAAATTATATGTAATTATTAATTGTTATATTTATAATAATTAACTTATAATATACAATAAATGATATAATATAAATTGTAAATATATATATAATTATAAAACAAACTTATGTGTTTTGTTTCTATACTGCATTTTGTATAATGCATCAATATTATAATAGAAATATTCTTTTACAGAAATAAATTAGTTATAAATATATTTATAACTAATATATTATTATTATATATTATATTTAGTTATAAATATATTTTCAGTGAATTAAATAAATATTTCTAATGGTAGGTGTACCACCTGTGGTACACACGTGGCATGGAAAGTGTTACAGAAAAGAAAAAACAAAACTATTAAAAAATCTATCTAAACATTCTATTCATATTAATAGAAATTGTCAAAAGAGAGTGATAGAATGAAATTTAGTTAGGAAATATTTAATACATCGCATAAAGAACTGAAACGTATGATCCAGAAGCTTTTAACATCTGAAACAAATGTTTTCTATTATACATTATTATAAAATAAGAAATAAAATATATTGTCAAAGGTAAGAATATATCTTACACTAGCGAATACTTCCAAAGATAAATTCATAAATTTTCCAGCAGTGATGACAAATGGTTTTCTTGATCTGACCATTAGAAGTAATAAAAATCGACTTTCCTTAGGATTCAATTCGTACCAAGTCAAATGGTAAGCTGCTCTCTCGATATCTGCGCTCTACAAATAAAACCACACAACATGGTTTTGTTTTTATATGATTTGTTGGATGAAGGAAATAGTTAATGGATGATTATCAAAATAATTTCTATTTAACCCTTTTCAAACGTATTCAATTTGGACATAAGTGTCGTATTGGTCAAAATAATTTATATATATATACTAAACATTATTAATATTAAATTGGGTATATAAAATAATATCCACAATAATATATGTATAAAATATTAAATATTAATATAAATATAATAAATATAAATAAATATAAATTAAACATAAATATAAGATTAGCACGGTTTCTTGTGTGGTGGCTTTGGTGGCTAAGAGTGGACCCCCGAAAAAGGGTTAAAATTACTTATAAATTAAACTTACCTTAGAAGTGAGATATTCACCAGCGTAACAAAGAGCAAATGCTTCAAGATTTGCTAGAACGTAATAAGGAACTGTTTTAGCTAAAATTACAGCTTTCTTTTGAGAATCCAAAGACTGTGCAAAAAGAAGAGATTTTGTTTTTGTTTGTTTATAAAGGAACAAAAGACACAATATATAATACATATATTACGATCGATATTTATTTACCGTAACAATCAAAAATCCAAGGGAACATATAACAAGTGTATTTGATAAGAATTGAATCAGTGCAATATACGTAAATATATTTTCAATATTATCCGTAAATGCTATGATCCTTTGATGTTTGTAAATCGATAATTTTAATATTTTATTACAAGATTCGCCATTTCGTATTGTCGATGATATATTCGATAATTGACGACATATTATTTCCACTTGACCATCAACGTGCAATATCTAGATTGATTTAAACTTTTTATTCATTTATATTAATTATTATTATTATTATTATTATTATTATTATTATTATTATTATTATTATCATTAATATTGTACTTACCAATGTAACAAGAATTGCACTGAGCATACTTGACATCGAAGCAGCCATAAATTCTTGAAGAAACTGAACGACATTAACCAATTCGTAGATCGGTGATTTTGTAGCATCGAATGGCAATTCCATTTTCAAAATCAATTGTTTTTCTTGACTAAATAATGCGAATGATAGAAAAAAAGTCACCCCTATCGAATAAGAACTGACGAAGAAACTTGAAAAACGTTTGGACAATGTAACCCTTTTTGACATAGTTTCCAAATTATTTTCTATGTTCGCACAATTTGACCAATCTTCGTTCATCATTTGTACAATATCACCGAAAACACTGAGAGAGAGAGAGAGAGAGAGAGAGGAAAAATATTTATGCACAGTTTTTTGAAAATAGAAGAACAAACAATTTAGAACAATCATAGAACAACCATAAGAATCATCCATAGAAATGTATTTTATTCAAAGCTTACCGATTTTTCATCCAAAGTATAATTAATTTCATAAAAAATACACTATTTGATAGTGTAATACTCAAACAATCCATCAAATCGGGCAAATCACCTGACGTTGAATGTATTACGAGATACCAATATTGAAAAACAAGAGTTGAACACATACTAATTATCCAAATTACACGATGAATTATTTCATAAGAATAATCAGGCCAAAGACCAATAAGACGTAAACTTAATTCAACGAGTCGATTTATCGGACTACTGACGTTAGAAATTATCATCCTTGAAATTGTATTTGATAAAATATCATCCAACCAGACAAGTTGTGATTAAGAAAATTATCTTTGAAAAAAAAAAAGAAAAATAAATCCCCAAGTAAACTTTCTATTTCTTTTTCTTTTTCTTTTTCCTTAACTCTGAACGCGTTTGTCTCCTGAGTGAAACATTTTATTTTCTGTTCTTTTCTTCTTCTAATCTTCAACACGTAAGTAAGAAGAAAATAAATAAATAAATAAATAAAAAAAAAAGAAGAAGAAGACAAGAGAAGAGAAGAACAACGATCGACGTTCGAAGAAAACTTTTGCAATATAAAAATGTTGCGTGTATTAAAACAAAATCGTTCTTTATCCAGACGATGATTATAGGTTTTACGTGAGATTGTGAAAGATAGAAAGATTGCTAGCGTTGGGGTGTGATGTCTCTTACTTTCTTCAACTTAGTAAACAAAAAAGAAATGAAAAAAAAAAAAAAAGAAAAAAAAATATATATATATAAAAGTAAGAACGTATCCTACCTACCCCTCTGTGCTAAAGAAAAATAAAAGAAGAAAAAAAAAGAGAAAGAGAGAGAGAGAGAAAGGAGACTACGATAATCGAAAGATATTAGATTAAATTATTCAAAAACTTATGTGAGTTTACACGCAAAGTTTTTTTTTGTTATATGTCAACCACCCCCCCATCTTCTTCTTCCTCCTCCTTTATTATCGTCATCATGAAAACGTGAAAGTTGTTTCTTGCTTGTAAACTTCGTCAGAATAAACGCATCATCATTTTGAAATAACTATTTCTTTTTTTTTTTTGTTTTTTTTTTTTTTCTAACTAACAATCACATCGTAATTCATATGTTGAAATATACTGCAATTTGTTTTTATCGATAAAATTATTATTTCTAATCGTTTGAAAGAATTTCATTTTTTTTCATCGTATTTTATTCTATTAACATTGTAACTAATGAATCTCTTTATTGAAGAAGATTTTCTTCGATTGTTTATAATGGAATTTAATACATCGCGTGTAATACGGATGCATAAGAAGCCGAAGCTTTTAAAATCTAAAAATAAAAAGGTAATTTTTTAATATATATATAAATTAAATTATATAAAGTAAAAGAATATTTCTCACACTCGCAAAACTTTCCAACGACAAATCCAAAAATTTGCCAACTGTAATGGTCAATTTTTTTTGACCACGAAGTATCAGCAAGAAAATATATCTGCTCTCTCTTGGATCCAATTTGTACCATTCAAAATTATATGCCGATATTCCAATCAATATACTCTGAAAACAATTATATTTACATACTAATTATACAAAAATAAGAATATATATATATATAATAATATCTCACCTTTGAACTAAGATATTCACCGATATAACATAGAATAAATGCTTCTATGTTAATGATCACATAATATGGAACAGTTTTTCCTAAAATAGCACCAGCCTCATCACTGTCCACTGACTTTTTACCATTAATTATAATTAATTTCATTTGTTTAAAGGTATACACAAATATCTAATTATATAAATGCACTACTCACAGTCATGATGACAAATCCAGAAAAACATATAGCCATGGTGTTAGATAAAAATTGCAATAAAGCTATGTACGTGAACATGTCCTCGATGTAACTCGAAAATAATATTATTCTATCGTGTTTGACGATCAAATATTTCAAAGTTGTCAAAGATGACGAACCATTTAGTTGAAATTGATCAAACGTAACTTCTATTTCTCGACACATGACATCGATCTGACCACCAACGTGAAGTATCTACGAAAATGAAGAAAACAATTCGTTAATAATTATATAAAGAGCATAGAAATGTCATTGATAGTCCTTACCATAGTCATGATGACACAATTGAGCATACCAGAAGTGGCAGCAAATGCAATTTCCTCGACTAGCTGAACGATACAAATGATCTCATAAATCGGTGAAACGAACGGATCAAAAGGTAATTCCATTTTGAGCACAAGTATCCTATCGTTGGATAATAATACCGGAAATATGAACATGATGGCACTGAAGGAGTAACCACAGAAACATAGTTTGGTAAAACGACGCAACGATTTAATCTTATCGATCATGATATCATCGCAATATTTCATGGGAAGAGTTGAAATAGTCAGGGACCAATCGTCCTTCATCATAAGTAGAAGATCACGAAGAGTGCTAATAGGCGAAATTGTTGAAATAACTTTGACAATCCATCGGATTGTTTGAAAACGCGATCGACGTACCCTTGATGATTCCAAAGAATACAAAGTTTCATCAATAATAAACTGTTGGACACGGTGATACTGAAGCAATCCATTAGTTCGGCCAGGTCATCGGTAAGAACGTGCATCATGATATATCGATATTGAAATATTAAAACTGAACCCAAAGCGATTACCCAAATAATTCGATGTAAAATCGCATAATTATAATCTGGCCATAGTCCAATAAAGTGCAGAATATATTTTACGGGCTTGATAACCAAGTTTGGAGGTACGCTCAAAGTTAATCCTTCAAAATTGATTGAATTCTCTCAAATCCCATTCAACAACAACCACGTACAACGTACGCTCACTCGCGTGTGTATGACCTTATTTTATATTTTCACCTTTTTTTTTTCTTTTTTTATATATTTCATTGAATCAATAAATTATGTCCAAAATTTGAAGATAAAGCGAGAAAATATTGGCGAGTTAATTTGTAATCAAATATAAGATAAGAACTGATCATAAATTCCGGCATTATTTATTGATCAATTTTTTGATGATAATAAATAAATAAAAAAAATAAAGAAATCAACTTACTCTTCATGGTTTGTTCGTGTATTTTTTGATAGGAGAAAGAAAGAAAAGTCTTGTCAAGATCCTAATCGTAGATCTCTTGGTGATAGAACGAAACGTTTGGCCCATTAACACTAACTGTACTAACGTCCGACCGGGCTCGTCTTCGTTTCTCATCAAATATTCTTCTCGTGCCAGCTCGAACGGAAATCGACTCCTCCTGATTATAGGTTTTACGGGGAAAAACACGTAATGGGGAAAAGAATAGAAAGAAAGAAAGAAAAAAAAGTCGACAATTCTAATACCATCTAATACCTATCGAACAGTTTCATTTGTTTGAATAATCCAAGAACTTGGTGAACTCACCAAATTGGCAACTTTACAAAATAGAAATAAAAAAAAAAAAAAATAATAAAGAAAGAAAGAAGTTAAAGGATGATAGATAGAACATTTAAATGAAGTTTATGGTCTTTTGTTGAGTGTAGTTAAATCTAATTTTCTACGTTGAAAGTGTGTCGCGTTGCACTTCTTGCTTTCGTGTTCTTTTTTTTTCCTCCCTTCAAGTTCAAAGACAGTTGTCGCCAGGTTGAATTGAATGATCGTACTGGTCATTGGTCATAAGATAATTTATGTGCAAAGTAAGTTAGAAAAAGTAAGTCGAGTAAATGATGATAAATATTGGTCGAAAGTTCGTTTAGATTAGAAAGAGGATACGAAATCTATGGAAAAATGTTGTCTCTTTCAAAGTTTATTATTCCTATTGAGGTAACAACTAATTATAAACTGAGGTAATAATCTTTTGTTTTTCTTGTTGTTCAATACATTGCGTACAATACCGATAAATATGATCCAGATGCTTTCAACATCTAAGAATAAAATAAAAAATAATCAAATGTCATTTGATCAGATGGAAACTTTGAACAAATAATTCAATGTTACTTACACTGGCAAATCCTTCCAATGACATGTTCATAAATTTTCCGGCAGTTATCACAAATCGTTTTTGAGATCTGACCAATAGAAAGAGGAAAATTCGACTATCGATTGAATCAAACTTGTACCATGCTGTATCATAAACTGCACGTTCAATGATCGAACTCTGAAATAAATCATTGAAATTGTTTGAAAATAACCATTTGACACGAAATAAAACATTTATATTTATTTATTGCACTACCTTAGCGGTTAAAAATTCGCCAGCATAGCACAAAACAAATGCCTCGATGTTAGCCAGGATATAATAAGGCCCAATTTTACTCAATATCGTATACCTTTGATCGGTATTCAATGACTGGAATAAAAAAAAACCCACAAATTAAAGTAATAAAAATAATAGAAATATATTTATTGACCGTACCGTAACGATTACAAATCCGAGAGCACAAATGACAATAGTGTTAGATAAAAATTGTATCAATGCGATATAAGTGAAAACATTTTCAAGATTATCGGTAAAAGAAATGATCTTTTGATGTCTAAACACTGACAATTTCAACATTTTATTACAAGATTCGTTTTGTTTAACCATAACTGAGATCTCTGATAATTCTCGACAGATTATTTCTACTTGACCATCAACGTGTAATACCTACAAAAAAAAAAAAAAGATTAAATATTATCTGTTTCAATCTATATTATTATTTTTTTTTTTTTTTCATAGATCATTATGCTCACCAAAGTTATGAGAAGTGCACTGAGCATACTCGATGAAGACGCTGCAAATAATAATAAAATGAATTGATCGAGATTGACTATCTCGTAGATCGGTGATCTCGTGTAATCAAATGGGAATTCCATTTTTAAAATCAACTGTTTGTCCTTGTTCAAGAAAACGTAAGATGAGAAAAATATTACGTTTATTACGTAAGAACTTACGAAGAAACGAGAAAAACGATAAGACAATGTAACTCGGCTCGTCATGGCGTCGATATTTTTGTTCGTTGCAACGCATTCTTCCCAATCCTTTCTCATAGTATCAAGGATCTCTTTGAAGATCCTAAAATCAATGTTATCCTATCTAATCGATTTAAGTTCGATAAATGCTAAATGTTTCTTCAACTTACCGATTTTTAATCCAAAGTATAATTAATTTAATAAAGAAAACACTGTTAGACAAGGTAATGCTCAAACAATCCATCAAATCAGGCAAATTACCTGATTTTAGATGTGCCACGACGTACCAATATTGAAATACCAAAATCGAGCACATCGAACTCACCCAAAATATTCGACATATTTTAGCGTAAGCATAATTTGGCCAAATTCCCATAAAACGTAAGCTCAATTCTACGAGATTGTTTATCGGACCTGTTACTGCTGGTGTCATCGAAATTAATTGATGTGTTTCGAAGTTGTACAAAATAATCGTTGTGATTTTTGAATGATAAACAATTTGAAAATACTTGAAAATAAATTGAAGAAAAAGATATTACATGAAATTCGTTGTTAGAAAGCCAATGAGAAATCTATACTGTTGAAAAACAAAGTATTATGTGAAAAATAAAAAAATATACAAGCACGCACTCAAACACGTATACAGAAAAAGCAAGTATAAAATCGTTCGAGCTTTTAGCGAGATCATCGTTCATGGTTTTACGAAATTACTGGTTTCCTTCGTTGATTGCAGGTTTCCTCGTAAAGTTGTCAATTGAAGGAAAAACATCGGGGTGAAGGGGATAATGTAGCGTCATTATTTCTTACCTGCAAAGCTCGAAGAATAAAAAAAAAAAAAAAAGGAAGTAAAAGAGAAAAGGGAAAGAGAAAGCAAAAAAAAAAGAAAAAGGCAAAGCAAGTAACAATTCCTCGATAATCAAAAGGCATTTTGTTTAATAATGCATAAGTGTCTGTTCGTGTTGGTTTCGCTACAGGTAAGCCATAATTTCCACTTTGTCTCTTTGAATCTATAGAAAAGTTCGTCAATGAAGACCCTCTAAGAAAAATAAATGAAATCTAACTTGTGCTTTTTCTCTATCACTTATTGTTTCTTTTTATATTATAGTTGTACATTTTATTTAATATATATTATCTTTTTGATATAACCATAACAGTTGATATAGATAAACTAATGTAAGTATTGATAAATTTCATTTCTAATACATTGCGTGGAGTACAGATGCATATGATGCAGAAGCTTTCAATATCTAAACATAAAAAAGTACATTTTTTTTTTTTTACAGAATTTATAACTCATATATTAAATACTATTTTATCCTAAATAAATTGAAAATGATTCTTACACTCGCAAAACTCTCCAATGACAAATCCAAAAATTTGCCTACGGTGATAGTCAATCGTCTTTGGGCTCGAAGCATTAGAAATAAAATATATTTACTCTCGTTTGGTTTCAGATTATACCAATTGGTATCATATGCTTTTTGGCCAATTATCAAACTCTACAATGAATTCACATTAACGTCAGAGAAATAATAAGGTCTTTTACAACTCTTGTAGAATTTACAAATGTAGAAACAAATTGGTATCTTTTCCTTTAATAAATGAAATATAATATAAACGTGTTATAAAATAATGCAATTAAATTTAACCAACTTTAGAACTGAGATATTCTCCAGCAAAACAAAGTATGAATGCTTCCACGTTGACCACAGTATAATACGGTACAGTTTTTGCTAATATTGCGTTCCCTTCTTCCGTGCCAATTGACTGTATAATCGAATGATTTTTAATATTATTAAAAACTATCTCACAGCACCTAATTTTATAACAATTTGACACGGTATTTAAAGTTTCGATTCTCAGCTTAATGAGACATACAAAAAATTGACGAATAAATCACATCTCACCGTCATTATAACGAATCCCGAAAAACAGATGGCCATTGTATTGGAAAAAAATTGCAACAAGGCAATGTAAGTGAACAATTCTTCGATGTAACCGGAAAATAATATAATCCTATCGTGTTTGACAATTAATTTTTTCAATACGTTCAAACAAGAACCATGTTCGTCCATTTGATTCATAAATTCTTCCATAGCTTGACACATTATTTCAACTTGGCCACCTGTATGAAGTATCTAACAAACGAAAGTTTTTATTAATAAAAAAAAAACAACATGTCAGCATATCACACAAGTTAGAAGTGAAACCTTCAAATAAATACGTTTCGAAGAATAATTTAATTATATAATATTATTTGTACTTTTAATTTGTAATTATTTATTTAATTATTAATTTAATTGAAAAAATTCGCGCCTGTTCGTATGCAACCCTCCAGACACAGTTTGAAAATGTTGCTTGCGAGCGCCATCTACTGGGACGGAATTATTTTGCATTCAAAACTGTTTATACAAGTATGTATAACGGGTTGCCTATCTTTCGGGCAGAAAAAAAATCGCAAGCAATATTTTTAAAGTGTGTGTGGAGGATTGCATTCATACAGGCGCGCATCTTTTATAATAATTACAAATAAAGTAAATAATAAAACGAATAATAAAACTTTTGAAAAAGAAAAATGTAATAAACATAAAAAAAAAGGGGAAATAAAATTCTCACCATGGTCATCATAACGCCATTTAACATTCCAGATGCTGAAGCAAAGGTTACTTCTTGAAAGAATTGTATCATGTTGATGAGTTCGTAAAACGGTGATACAGTGGCGTCAAATGGAAATTCCATTTTTAATACGAATATCCTTTCTTCGGCAAATATGACGGGAATCAAGAACATGATAACACCACCACCATAAATGATAGTTGATATTTTAGAAAATTTATGTGCTATGAAAATTTTGCTGGTCATCATATCGACGTTTCTACCAATGGTAATACATTCCAACCAATCCTCGTTCATCATAGCTACGATCTCGTTGAAAGTTCTACCTTATTAGTATCGTTCCTTCTTTAGTAGTCTCTCTTTCTCTCTCATTTCATTATATATTATACATACGTTCTAGATATATTGTATATAAATTATAATTAATTGATTATTATAAATTCAACTCACCGTTGTTTGAACCAAAGTATAATTAATTTGATGAACAAGAGACTATTTGACACGGTGATACTAAAGCAATCCATTAACTCGGCTAAATCATCCGTTGCAATGTGTAACATCACGTATCGATATTCTAAGATCAAAACTATTCCTAATATTATCACCCAAAGTAAACGATGAATTAAACTATAAGTATATTTTGGCCATAATCCAATGAAATATAAACCCAATTCAACCGGTTTACTGATAGGATTGTTATACGTAATATCGGTCATCTTTCCAAGTTTAGTTTTATTCTGTTTTCTATGATAACTCAGACAAAAAAAAAAACAAGAAAACAAAAAAATCGAACAAAAAAGAACTTATCTTTCGTTTCCTCCGTTCACAGAGAGACACGTAAAAATGTATTTGTTTTTTTTTTGGCTCACTCTTAAATACCTGATACAATCTAACGTGACTTGTAGTCTAATGTGACCATTCGCGATACTGTTCGATATTTTTTTTGTTCCCCGAGTAACATGACAGTTTCATCTGTGAGATATCCTAAGCTAATAAAAGTACTCTCCGATCAAATATTCTTTCTCTTTCTCTTTCTCTCCCTTTCTCTTTTTCTCTTTCGACGATTATACGTCTAAAACTCTTCTCATTCTGTCTCTATTCGAACGTTCGTAAATATACACCACTAACTTTGAAAAAAGTTCATAGATAAAAACGTTGAAAGTTGGTAGGTAAGCAAAAAAAAAAGTAAAAAAAAAAATAATCATTTCTAATGACAAACAACTTTTGTTAATGCACTTAAACGTTATTATCTTAGTTTCTTTAATGAACGGTTTTGATCCCAAGAGAGTTTAGAAGAGTACCTACCATCCCCCCTAACCCGCCCCAACCCACACAAAGCTCAAATTTATTTATTCGTATAAATAATCTCGTCGTGGAGTTACACGAGCGATAAACGGGAAATTGCAGGTACACGTAAAAAAAAAAAAAAAGCAAAGAAAAAATAAAATAGAAAAAACGAAAAAGTGGGAGAAAGAGAGAGAGAGAGAAAAAGTTTGCAGCTAAAATTGTACAGCCAATCAATCGTTTTGTACGAGACCATAAGATAATTATAGTTCGTCAGCCCAGTAGTGGATTGATGATAAGCTCTCTTCGTCAATTTTACTCTTTGGTTGTGTTTGGGTTTTTCTTTTTTAACGTTCAACACGTCACTTTCCACTTTGGTCTCTCTCTCTCTTTCTCTCTTTCTCTCTCTCCTCTATCGCGAATTTTGAAGAAAGATAAAAAAGAAAAAACATGAGAGAGAGAGATCGAGAGAGAGAGAAAACCACAAACTAAAGTCCTACTCTACGGACGAGTACTTTTAATTCTCTTTTTGTCGGCAGACCACACGCATCGTCTAGTTTTTTTTTTTTTTTTTTTTACTTCTTTTTACTTCTTTTACCTTGCCATGGATGATATCATGGGTGAGTTTTTAGAAAGATACGAAAAAAATAAAAAAAAAATGTATATAATATAAGACATTATATTAAATTATTATATTTGTATGCAAACGTTGCACACCTTTTTGTATTATCTAATAATCTCTTGCAATTGTAATATACAATATAATATATGATACAATTTCAACACAATAATTAATTAAAACGATAATATATATATATATATATATATATGTTATTCAGTACATAGCGTAAAGTACTGAAACGTACGAGGCTGATGCTTTTAATATCTGAAAGATAATAAAATATTAATGCAGATATGTTTGCTTTAAAAGATAATATTTGGGCAGCCTATTTTGAAAATGGCCCATCTCCATTTATGTTCGAATCGAGATATTAAGAAGGGGTTTGCGTTTCAATGCAATGAAAAATGCACGTACACGATATTATCGAGTTATACTACTTAAAGTGTATGTAAAGGCTTTCAATTTATATTTCCTATTAAAATAGTGCCAATTATTAAGCGAATAATATGCGTTTTCTAATCACGAATGGAGTTAGGCTATTGTTAAAATCAACAATTTGATTTGTTATAAATTTTGAAGGAACTTAAAACTCCATTCAACATAATTGAAGATGCTTCAAATTGAAAAAAAACATATTATTTTCGTGTTACAATTTGTAATAAATTGCTTCAGAAATGAAAAGATCATGTACAAATGTAACTATTACGGTAGCTAACTCGATTTTTTTTTTTGGAAAATCAAGATAAACCACTTTCAAAATAGGCGACCCATTTAACAAATAATCGAAAAAGTTTGTTATTTTTTTTTTCAATCTTATTTTTGGAAATTTGTGTTGGCCTAAATTTTTATAACGAGTAAGGTTTTCTCATCTAACCCTTATTTTTGATGGGGTCAGGCGTTTGATTAAACGTAGAATTAAATAAAAATCTTACACTTGCGAAGCCTTCCAAAGATAAATCCATGAATTTTCCGACGGTGATCGTTAATCTTTTTTGGGACCTGAGTATCAAAAGCAAGAAATATCGACTTTCATTTGGTTTCAGTTCGTACCAAGTGGATGTGTATGCGGCTTCACCGATAGCTTTACCCTGCGAAAAAGTACTCGATCTATCGTTCTATCGAAAAATTCCAAAAGAGATGAAATCTTATTCGAAACGAAATATATAATAAGTGAGAATAAAAGCTAAGAAAAATGGAACAATGTAAGTAATGATAAAATAAATATGAAAATATAAATCTCACCTTTGAGGTGAGATATTCGCCTGCAAAACAAAGAACAAATGCTTCCAAATTGACCACAGTGTAATACGGTAATGTTTTGGCCAATATTACCAATCCTTGATCAGAATCAAAAGACTATAAATAATAACAAATAGACAAATGATTTATCTTAAGTAATAAATAAATTAGAAAGTAAAAATTGTAAGTATTTGTACACGTTGATCATTTTAAATTTACTATTTACGTTACTAATCTAATAAATTATAATATTACAGAAACCTAATACCATATTCACCGTTATTATCACAAATCCGGAAAAACAAATGGCCAAAGTATTGGATAAAAATTGTAACAGAGCAATATAAGTGAATACACTTTCAACGTTGAGAGAAAAATTGATGATCCTTTCGTGAGAATCGATCAATGATTTTAAAGTATCCTTGCAAGATTTTTCTTTCATTATTTTAGGTGAGATGTTAGTTAGTTTTTGACACATGATTTCTGCTTGTCCACCGAGATGAAGCATCTAAAACTATGCTCAATAATGTAACCGTTGATGTAACACTGATTTAAATTTATTTTCAAATGTATTGTTTAAAAAACAATTCGTGGACACTTGGTTGAGCACGTGATAAAAAAATAATTTAATTTAAACTTACCAAGGTTACGATCAGACCATTCAACAAGCCAGAAGTTGAAGCAAATAATAATTCTTGAAGAAATTGTAATATAGAAACCAACTCGTAAATAGGAGATTTCATAGCGTCGAAAGGTAATTCCATCTTTAATACTGGTACCCTTTCAGGTGCAAAAATCACCGACACTGAGAAAAGGATTACCGTAGTTGAATATAACAAAATTGTACAACTTGCGAAACGTTGAGATAGAATAACTTTGTTGTACATTCTTTCACGATCGTTATCTTTCTCGTTATTATCATAATCTTCAGCTATCGTCATTAAAATTCCTTCGAGAATTCTGTGTCGAAAGGGGTTTCATTATAATATTTCATTGAATTTATTAATTATCAATCTTTCACCTTTCACTGATTCGAATTAATTGATCATTAAAAAAAAGTTCGCTTACCGATCATTGAGCCAAAGTATGATGAGTTTACAAAATAAAAGACCATTAGACAAAGTGATGGTCAAGGAATCCATTAGATCGGGTAACTCATCCGTCTTTATGTGCTTTACCACGTATACACATTCAAAAAAAAGAACAAATATCATAGTGATCGTCCAAAAAATTCGATGAATCATCGCGTAAGCATAATTCGGCCAGAGACCAATCAAACGTAGCCCAAATTCGACTGGACTGCATATCGAATTTTCCCTCATCGTTAAAATTATATGCTATCAAGCTTACGTTTTCTTTTTTTCTTTTTTTTATTCTCGGTTTGTGTTTTTCTCCGTTTACACTGCGGGATCGTTGATTACGAAATGTACTTCGCGATAGACAGTTTTCTTTTCTCCATCGTAGTAAGAAAAATGTATTTTTCATGAAACATGAATAATTTGTTATTCTCGACTGAAGAATATATTGCACATACGTAAAAGGCTATCAAAAGTTCTCGAAAATAGATATCTTCAAGTTCACCCCACCTACCTACCTACCTGCCTGCCTGCCTACCTACCTACCTACCTACCCCTACTCTGTCGATCTCTCCAATGCAATCAAGAGTTATTTTCTTTAAAAATTCAACGATCCCGGCCCTCAACACACGCGATCGTACATGCACAATAAAATATCAGCGAACGGTGAAAATTGCAACGATGCAATAACGCTAAGTAAAACAAAATATGAGAGAGAAATTCGTGGTAGAAAGGTACACACGCATTACAATGATAAATTTTTTAAAACAGCCATGATTATTATACATAATTTTTTATAGAAATTTTTTTCAAGTGAAAAACTTCTTTAGAATGGGTGTGATTTGAAAAAATGAAACGCGGTGATGTAGTGGGAAAACGAAACCGGAATGTAGTGGGGACAAGAAACGGCCTTAATACTACGTAAGAAAAGAAAAAGAGAAAAACATATCATTATTTATAAAAATATTTGATTTGCAAACGTTTTTTAAAGTGTTTTATTATTTACTTTGTTTGTAATTATTATAAAAATTCGCGCCTGTATGAATGCAACTCTCCAAACACACTTTGAAAATGTTGCTTGCGAGCGTCATCTACTGGGACGAAATTTTTTTCTGCCCGAAAGATAGGCAACCCGTCATACATACGTGTATAAACAGTTTTAACTGTAAAAAAATTTCGTCCCAGTAGATGGCGCTTGCAAGCAACATTTTCAAAGTGCGTCTGGAGGGTTGCATACAAACAGGCGCGCATCTTTTATAATTAAATTAATAATTAAATAAATAATTACAAATTAAAAGTACAAATAATATTATAATAAATTATCATTCGAAACTTGTTTATTTGAAGGTTTCACTTCTAACTTGTGTGATATGCACACAATATATATTTTATAACAAAAAGTAATCAACTTTGAGAATTTTTCATTTTAATCACAGACGATTATTTACCATCGATGCAGAATGTATAGAAAAAATATACAAAAAGAGAAATAACATACTAGGAGAAAAGTTCATTTCGAAAACTAGAATTTCATTTTAACAGTTTAAAAAAAAAAAAAAAACACAGTTTACGAAAATCGATATAAAAACAACGTTAACTCGTGAATAGAGAATACAGTCTATCGATTATATCCGTTCACATTCCGTTATAAGCTGGACCACCGCCACCCTCTGGTACAACCCAATTAATATTTTGACTGGGGTCTTTGATATCGCAAGTTTTACAGTGAATGCAATTTTGTGCATTGATCTGCAATCTCTCGCCATCGCCACTTTCAATTGGAACGAACTCGTACACTCCTGTGAACGAGAACAAAACGTTTTTTTTTGATCAAAATCAAAGAAGAAAAAAAAAGAAATCACATAAGCGTGAAATATATCAATTAAAATCAAATTTCTTGTTTTTTTTTTTTTTTTACAGAAGATTTGAAAATTTGTTGTTTTATCATCTAAATAACTTTGATACTACAAATCTCAAGTATGAAAAATCATTCTAACCGCGATAAATAAATGTTTCAGGTAAAATTATTCATTAGAAGGGTTGAAGGGATGATTGGACGGATGGTTGGATCGAAGATGAACAAAGAATTCCGTATTCCGAGGTTGTTGGCCTAGCCTACGTGCAGTGTGACCCTCGATTTTGGTGGTTGTGCTTGGTCGGGGGTTGTCTAGCCGAGCGGGGGTGGTTGCCCGGGCGGTTCAGGTTCAAGGACGCTCCGGTCGATAAACTCCCGACGTTGGGGAGCTGGCAAGAGTAAGGGAAGGGAGGGAGAAAGCTCCTGCAAAGGAACTCAAGCCGGAAATGGAAGAGGTATGTACTCAATCTATCAAAGAGGAAAGGAAAAATATATGGATAGAAAGAGAAACTAGAGTTACTTGAGTTATTTAAGGATTCCACAGTTCTTACTATCAAACGAGATTATTTAAAACTTCAAACTAACGGATCGCTTCGTACTTGTTGATAAAAGAAAACAAATAGAACAAAAAAAATATTAAAAGAAAAGTATGCGTTTATAATGAACTGATAAATATTAACTACAAATATTTGTGTACATTTAAAATATTTCTTCTTAGTCAAATATCAAATAGCAAAAGAAAAGTGTATTAGCGTGTGAAGGAAGAAAAATAAAAAAGAAAAATAAAAAAAGAAACAGAATAATGCCGACTATGTCAAAATCCGCAATGCGGATTTCGCAAAGTGAGCTTGGCGAATGGTGAATGCAGTTACAAGATAGATAGACTTTTTTCTATAGATTTGTCAACGACACAGTACGATTTTTACTTCTTACACGAAAATATAAAAGACTGACGTAATCTTTGCATTTAATATTATTGTAAAAGATGTTTTTTTTTTTTTTTTACATACCCGCGGGACAAAAACGACCTTCAGGACCATCGTATACAGCCAAGTTTTTTTTCACTGGCACAGTGTCGTCTTGTAAAGTCAAATGAGGTGGTTGATCGCCTTCGTGATTTGTTCCAGTAAGAGCGACTGACGATAATAAATCGAATGATACCTCGTTATCCGGTTTTGGATATTCGATTGGTGTACACTGGGATGCAGGTTTTAATTTTGCATAATCAGGTCCTGATAATAAAATAACACATGGTAAATGCACATCGTGATATCTGTAGCAATTTTGATATTATATATTTTCAGAGAAAAAGGAAATATTAAATACCTCCATGAGAAAAGGTCCAAGGTTCTCTTCCACCGATCAACATAGAAAATCCAGAATACATAATTCCTCCATAAAGACCAAGACTCGTGTGAAAGCTTGGTCTCATATTTCTAACAGCTTTTAATTCTTTGTATATCCAACTATTCTTTATTTTTTCAGAATAAGTTTTTGGTTCAAGACTTTTGCTTGGCGAAGGATTATTTTCTGCTTCTACGATAGCTTCAACCACACTCTCAGCTGCTAACATACCACTCTTCATAGCATTGTGCGTACCTTTGATTTTAGGTACATTGAGAAAACCTGCCGTACAACCAACCAAACAACCGCCAGGAAATTGAAGCTTTGGAATAGATTGAAATCCACCTTCCACTAATGCTCTTGCACCATAAGCTATCCTATATTTATCATAATATAGATCAAAAATCATATTTATCATTATTATATTTATATTATTACCTTTTTCCTCCTTCGAAAGTAGGCCTGATGCTAGGATGTTGTTTGAATCTTTGAAATTCTTTAAATGGATGCAAGTAAGGATTAGAATAATCTAATCCTACAACAAAACCTACTGCAACAAGCGGTGTTTCTTCGTTGAGATGATATAAAAATGATCCACCATATGTATTCTTATCCAATGGCCAACCAACTGTGTGTTCTACTGAACCAGGCTTATGTTTCTTAGGATCAATTTCCCATATCTAAATAATAAGATAGAAGTTATTAGAATTGGAAATTGTAGAGTAGTTTTACAAGATACATACTTCTTTCAATCCTATACCATAGCTTTGCGGTTCACAGTCCTTTCTCAAATTCAGTTTCTTTGAAAGCTGTTTAGTAAGATGACCATGACAACCTTCAGCGAAGATAGTACACTTTGCATGTAATTCCATACCTCTTTCAAAAGTTTCTTTTGGAGAACCATCTTTTGCAATTCCAACATCATTTGTTGCTATTCCTTTCACAGAACCATCTTCGTGATATAAAACTTCTGAACCAGCATAACCAGAATATATTTCTACACCTGCAGCTTCAGCTTGTTCTCCAAGCCACGATACAACATGGCCTAATCTATAAACAATCTACTTCTTTACAAATTTTTAAAGGTTTATAAGAAAATTCTGTTTCCATATACAATGTAAAATATATTTTTACCTAACTATATAATTCCCATGATTGTACATAGGCATACCCTTGAAAATAGGTATCGATATTCTTCCTTTTTCTGTAAGAAAAGCAAATTTGTCTTCCGTCACTGGTGTATGTAACGGTGCACCTAATTCTTTCCAATTTGGAAAGAGTTCAACCAAAGCAATTGGATCTAAACATGCACCACTAAGTATATGTCCTCCTACAGTAGAAGCTTTTTCCACTAAAGTAACCCTAAGCTCTTTTCCATGCTTCTCTGCTAATCTTCGAGCTTGTATAGCAGCTGACAATCCTGCTGGGCCTCCACCAACAATTAATATATCTGTCTCGTCTACGAATCTTTCCATATTTACATCTACAAAATATACAGATATTTTTTTACTATATATCTACAATAATAACTAATATTTAACTGATAATTGTTTATAATAATGTACCAACCTTTCCATCTTGGATCTGTTTCTCTTGGAACTATGGTATAATGAGTTGTAATTTTTGGATATTTCACATCCGAATAAGCACGGTGAAAAATTTGTTGTAATCTCTGCTGTGCTATCAAAAAAAAATAAATAAATTAAATTCTCTTGATTAGATACATACTTATGTATTATAACTAAAGACAAGATTGTTTAATTGCATAATATTCTTGAAAACAAAAAAAACAACATTGTATATGATTCATAAATCGCGCGCAAATATTTAATGCAGACCGCCATGTAGTATCAGCCAATCAGCGTATCGTTGCCATATCAACTACCTAACCTTTTTATTAGTCAATGCGCGTTCACGCTGAGATACACCTACATTGCGCATGCGTGACGTCAGTAGTAAACAGATACGATGCAATGTTAACCTAAACGAGAATTTCTCGATACTCTTTGATATATTAAACGATAAAATAAAAAAGTATAACATATAA